TAATCTTGGACCACCGCAAAGTGAATTGAAATTTTTAAATGTTTACCCAATTGGAAAATTACAGACTGCTGTTAACTTCTTTTGTAATAATACACAACATTTAATACGAATAAAAAATAAAAATAATCGCATAGTCCTAATTCCCGCGGTATATTGCCGAACAATTTGAGCGTTGAATTAAATATACTTTTAGAAATTTATACAGGTACATTTATTTCAGATAAACTAGGACTAAGAACAGAACTGTATTTCGTTATATCTTTTTAAACCTTATTTAAGTTTCAGACAGTCAATGAACCAAGTTTTGTAATAAAACAGATAAAAGTTTTACATTTGGCTTTTTATAAAGTGAGTCTGTTAATGTAAATAAATAACTTTAAACCTATACATATACTCGTAAAACAAGCTGAAGTGTGTGTAAAGTTGAAATAACTGGCTTATATAAGATTTTTACCTATAAAATTATAGTTTTTTGTAAAATGAACTAGCGTAATTTTTTCTATATTTTTTTTTATTTCTATTAATCAAAGTAGCCACACCTCGGATATTGCATTAATTAAGTGCAGATTAATGCTAAATGTATAGATTTTAAGTCAGTTATAACGGGATTGACTTGTTCACAAACAAGATCTCTAAATAAATACAGAAAAAAGTCCCCTTTACACATCGCGAGCCGGGAGCCGACGGAGCTATAAAATCCAACTGTCTAACAACACAGCACTTACATGACAGAAAATAATTATAATAGGTTTAGTTTATAAACTTATACCAACAAACCACATATAAAGAATCAATGCAAACAAAACACGGCCAATGAATACCGAAAGAGTTGTTGAACCAAACAGATTGGAAATATATAGTTTTAAATGCAAACTATAACGCTTTGAGGTGGCGACGCACCTTTTAGTTACAGACCAATGCATCCTAATTACATTCGAGCGCGTATAGGACAAGCTGCGAACGAATACGCAGATAGGACAAGCTGCGGGCAACACAAACTATAAAAATAAGATATTTATATGTTAGTATAATATCTAAAGAAACAACAAAAAATCGAAGAGAATTCATTAATATCATTAATGAATTCATTAATTCAGAAAGGTCATTAATGAATTAATTAATTTAGAAAGGTCATTAATTAGTTATTATCCCCGACATATTTTTGTTGACAGTCTGGCCGTATACCAATAAAAAGTAAAAAAATTAAAATTAGACTAAAGGAAACGTTAGATTAAAGTTACTCATAAAATAAAAAAAATATCTTTTTAAATATTTCTTCCTCTTTAAAAATTTTCGGTTTAAGTGATACTAGAAAGTTATACTATAAAGTTAACTCTTGTGTATGATGACTTCCTACTTGTTTCTTTAGTTCTTGGTGAGGGTTATCTTTATGAGAGTACAAAACAAGCGTCTCGAAATGAAATCTCGAATGCACGGACACAAGCGCAGCGTTCACCCAAAATAGCGGACAGAGAAAATAACGTGATTCCAGCGTCCGCAGTACTAAGCATCGAGTTATCTGGGGGCATGGCAGTGCCTCCGCAAGTGGAGCAAAATAGCGGCACGGCCGTACCACTTTTTTCTCGAAGCAGTTCAGGTCATTTTCGACCCCCTATAACTTCGTTGTGGATAAAACTAGTAGCCTGAATTCAGTAACCAGGCAGGCATTGTATAAATATGGTATATTTCAAATTTAATTCAAATTGAACCAGTAGTTTAAGAATTATAATTAGTCAAAATTTCTTAATTTTGTCACTCACTCACTGACTGACCGATCATCAAAACTCTAAAGCGCTTCTAGCAGACATATAAGCTTCAAATTTAGAATAAAATTAGTGTTTAGTGTATAAATCAAGAAAAAATTAAAATATTTTTCAATTTCGGTTCAGTTTTCTGGATACGCCAACTGCATAAATAACTTTGTAATCCTATATAAATATATAGAATTACAAAGTTACATTTGCAGTGAATTAATCAGTGTACCTGTATAATATGTATAATAGGTATAGATAGGTACGTTATTGGTATTCAAGAAGTAGATGGTACCGGTAAGGAAAAAAAGTAAGACTATCCACAAAAAGAAATGAGATGCCATCAAAACATAACTTGTAAAAAAAAGTTATTACGTAATTAGCTAACCTAACAACATCTTATAGTGACCATATCAATGTTAAAAATCTTTTATGTTTTAAATAAATAGATTGACTTGGCAATCGCACTAAACAATCTAATTTAATTTAATATGTATTACTTGTGAGATACATTGTATTTTCATGCGATGGCCTAAGTCAATCTATTTATTTAAAACATAAAAGGTTGTTAACATTGATATGGTCACTATAAGATGTTGTTAGGTTAGCTAATTACGTAATAACTTAAAACAGAAGGATCCTTAAGTAGGGACCGAATAAATTAACCAACTTAGTATTATATGGATCTCACAAATTTTTACGGTAGAACTGAGTTGCAAGACTTGTTTTTTTTACAAGTTATGATTTTGATGGCATTTTCTGTTTACTGCTGTCTTTTTATTACTAGAATAAGATTGACAAAAGAGCTCATAGTCCACTTGATGGTAAGTTTATACTGTGGCCTAAAGACTTTTACATTTATCTTCCATTAAAAATAAAAATTCATATATGTCGTAACCCTCGATAAAGATGGAATGTCTTGTATCCAGTAAAAGAGATGTCTACACTCACCATACGAAACACGGCAGCGTAAGCTGATATTTTACGCTGGTATTCTACTAAAGTCTGTCCTTCTCCGGTAGAGCCGACCTATTCGTTTTTTAATTAAACTGCTAATATGGTTCTATATAATATGGCTGCAGCATGGATCTACCTAGTTGATAACGATACTGTAGGTGAATCTTAAGCTTGTATGTACGTGCGTACGTTATGTAGACTTGTATAAAGTTTCCACACTATCGTTCACACTGTAATTACGAAGCTGTCACTCAGAAACTTCATTTGAATGAACGAAGACGGAATTCAAAGTCGTCGTGATATTTCATTTCGAAGTGTTCCTACGCAGCCCAGCATGCCATAAGTCAGCACTTAAAATTGCAACTAATGATTTCATCGGTGATTTTCGAAATCTTCATAATAGTCATAGTTTCTTTAAAATTTACGCCCACCCATACTAACTCCTTAATGTTTTTTTTATTAGAATTTCTTTTTTCAATAGTGGATATCTCTTATGGACTCAAATTAGTATTAAAGGGTATTAATAATACTTTTTTCCTTTTTTTAATTGTACCCTACTACACTACACATCCCCCACACTAAGATAATCTCCAATATTTAAATTAGATGCATTTTATATACGTAAACTTCACAAGGACGAATATTTAAACCTGTAACAATTATTTAAGTCATTAATATTAAGCCAAACCAATACATGTTTCTTGCTGGGTTTGAACCCGCAGCCTTTAGCGTTACAACTTATTGCAAAGCGGCGCACGGCGCCACCGAGCCGTCTATTGGAAAAATACAACTTATATTTGAGTACCTATTTATGCTTTGCATGTTTTTCTTTTCATGTCGGCAGTGCACATACACTTATCATCATAATAAAGATTAGTAGTCGAATCGTCGAAGTTTTTTCCAATAAAATGCAACTGCATGTAAATATTGTATTTTGACATCTACACGTAAAAATTTAAAAAAACTCGAAAAAAATTGCTTCTCAAAACACTCTAGAAAACATTTTATTTTTAACTTACTCATGAAAAATACTTTATAATTTCGCATAAAAAAGCAAGGAAAAGTCATCTCAAATTCATAAACATCAAAGAAAATTAACATCAGCGGAGTCAGTGACGGCAATGGTTATTGCCTTACTTCCCGGCCGCCTGTCCCGGGTGCCCCGTGATATACTGCGAAGGATATCCTGGAAGAGCGCGTTTTTACATCCCGCTGCATGTTTTAAGACCATTTTGTAGGTCTATTTTATAAGCAATTTCTTGGGTTGTGGAATTATAATATGAGGCACATATGTACATGATGTCCAAATTTTATAAAAGGTTCTTTTTATAATTAAATAGAAACTGAATACATTTTAAGCCCTGAGGACTTTATTCATTATTACAAATACCCTAATGAGGAGGGGGAAGGGGACTTCGAAACAACCTTTTATCTACACCAAACACATGAAATAATATTTGTTTATTATTTTCGTTTACGGGGAGTTATGATAAAAAACAACATTCAACATTGAACTTATCAACGTTAGACTTTCCACACGCTGTAATGAATGAATGAATAAATGAAAAAATGAATTATTATCCAGACCCCGAAAAATTTTTATAGGCCATACAGACACATGTTTAAATATCGTTGTGTGATTTTTAAAGACGTTCGTAGGACAAAATATTGACATAAAAATACAGTTAAACAAAGTGTGAAAAAATATTTTAAATACATTTAACGTTAAAAATATTTTTTAATTTTAATAATACTTAAATTTTCTTTTTAAATTTTTAATAATTTTAATTATACATTCAATGATAGAGTCACGCTGCGGCTAGGTAATACCAACACGCATGGGTCTGCTCGACCGGGATAGGAACACGCTCTCACAGAATACCAGCGTGAAAAAGCAGCTTTTCTTCCGCATAATGAGTGTAGAGAACCGGATATCCTTATTACTGGTAATGAGGCATTTCATCTTAGTCCTCAAAGGGATCATAACACATCTGCATATTGATAATTAATTAAAGATAGATGATCTAGATGTCTATGGGCCACAACATCCACTTATCATTAGATTGGCTGTGTGCTCATTTGTCACCCATATTCAATAAGAGAAATTCTCCGTCTTAGGAGTAATTGTTTTGAAGTACTAATATAAAAATAAAGCTAAATTATCGAGCCACAAATGGTTTCACCTTCGAATTGGAAACTGAAAACTACCACACGGCAATTTATGATGATATTTTAGCACTGGCTTTTGTACCGAACGTTCTACAAAATGCAATCATATAATAATGCACTCACCAACTGGGTTCTCTTCATTCCAATATGAATCATCCAGTGTATAATCGGCTTCTGAAACAATTATAAAAGTCTTATTTAGTAACCTATATTATACATACATTGCATATAAAATATTTGACGCCTTTTACCCAGAAGTGTAAGCAGAAACTACGGATTTCCATTGAGCACAATCCTGACAGATCTCTCTTGCTTCTTTCATGTCCATCTAACTACGCATACATGCTCGTCAGTTAAGGGCACTTTTAATTCGGGCCATCTTTAATATATCACCAATTTGATATATAAACTACTTAAATATTTAGTGTTAAAATTAATTTCTATAATATTATGGCGATAAATTAAGTACAACAATTTTATAATAAATCACAAGACGTTCAAATTACGATGGTTCAAAGAAAGAGAAAGAACATGAGAACACGAGAAAGAGAGAGTGAGCAGTATCAGTATCATTTCAAAGTATTGTAGAACAGATTTGATGATACTTCGAAGCTACTCACTGTCGTAGGTCTGTTTATTTAATCATCAGATCTTCTTGAAATAACCCATATACGACTTATTGTAAAAAAGTCATCCTGAAAACATTAAAAAAATTACCATCAAAATACGGACAATAAAGGAACTGTGGGTGCGATGTGTACAAGTAATAATCACAAGAATTCGAATTTGGAAAGAAACTCAAGAGTCAACAGCAGATACAAAAGAAAGTTATCCAATATGAATTGTCAGTGACAGAGATCGAGAAAAATACAGTTTAACGTAGATCATATCGCGATCGTAAGTTCAAAACTTATGATCATGGTATTGTCCTTAGTACCGACTTTCAGGCAGTTAAAGGAGACTAGCCCCTTGGATTATAGGGTCCGAGTGTATGCGCAAGCACAGGTGCTCTCTCTATTTCCACACCCTCATCCGATGGGACGGCAATCCGACACAATCAGAGAGAGATCAGGTGAAGGATCAACGGTTAACACGCTTCCCGAGGCACGAGGGTGGAACACCACCAACTTCCTGACTTCAGGCTGCTACTGAAAATTTCTTGACAGTAGGACCCGGGATTCGAACCTGGCACCTCATGGTCAGCAACCGTGTTACGACACTAGACCAAAGAGGCGGTCAGATCACAATATGACTATCGTTACTTTAAATACTACTAAGCCATACTGTCCTTGAACTTGAATCAGTATTCAGTAAAGACGTTTAGAAAAGATATAGTTTAATAAATTGCAAAAGATATATTTAGTAAAAAAAAAATCCTTTCATTGTCTTCTTGTTACATACCGCAATATGCGAAAAATTAAACACGACTAAATGAATATTTTAATAAAAGAAAAACAAACGTTACCAAGCTCAAATACCGGCAGGAACATATCCGGAGCAAAACGTTAAATATTTAAGGCTGTAAATTAGAAAAAAATTGCAAACGAAATAAAAAAAAATAATTACTGGGTCGGATGGAATAAATCAAACAATGGGGTTGTTTCAAGTCGAAACGCCTTCCCCGTTCAGCGTCAATGAGTACAGCCATTGTTATTGTAATTAACTCGTTATATGGCACTGGAGTTGGCACCAGGGATTATAGAACAAGGAGACTTTCCAAACCTATTTTTTAACGTTGACAGTGTTATTTTTTCAGGTTAACGTACTCCTGTACGTTGAATGAAAGTAAATTCTATTGTTATTTTGAACAGATTTTTAACTCAAATCGTAACAATGCCGTTTGTGTGATAGCAAATGTTATTAAATTTCATATTTTTCTTATGTATTGTAATTTTAGTAAATTATAGAATAGTGGTGGTGTAAGAATCTCCATCATCCCATACCATCCCGTCAGTGTCGTATAAGGTGAAAGAAGGAAATGAGCTATGTTTTAATTACACCACGAATGGATCGGCTCGACCGGGGCAGGACCAGGCTCTCATAGAATACCAGCGTGAATAGCAGCTCACTGCAACTGTGTTTCGTATGGTGAGTGTGGAATGCCGTAGACCCTTTTTACTGGAAACAAGCCATTCAGTCTTGGTCCTCGGGGAGTAGGACACAGACACGCACACACACACACACACACACACACACACACACACACACACCGCACACACACACACACACACACACACACACACACACACACACACGAGCGTGGTCCTTTCCCGGTTGAGCTGACCCATTCGTGCTACTATCATAATATAGCTGCAGCGTGTCTCTAGTGGCTATACTGACACCAATTATCATCAGGTATGTGCTCATTTATCACCCTAATTTTATGTAAAATAGGTACTAGAATAACAGCTTGGTACTGGAAAGTGCTGTGGACGTAGGATCTACATGATTAAGTGATGACTATTGATATATAAAAGAACCCAATTTTTAGTATATCAATGGTGACGACCTATGACACATGCAGAAGAAAAAGTAAAGTAAAGTAAAGTTACAGCCTATATACGTCCCACTGCTGGGCTCAGGCCTCCCCTCATTTCTGAGAGGGTTTAGGGCGAGGAAGTGTCCGCCGCGCTGCCCAAATGCGTGTTGACGAACTTCACATGTCTTCGAAATATTTTTTTTTCTTATTCCTCAGACATGCAGGTTTCCTCACGATGTTTTCCTTCACCGCCGAGCACGTGGTAAATCAGCACTTAAAATTGCAATTAACAATTTCATTGGTGCCGGCGGGGATCGAACCCGGGTTACTCGCGTTCTGTTATATTTACAGCGAGCGTTAACCACTGAGCTACCACGGCTCTTTGCAGAAGAAAAGATATAGGTATATATATATTTTTTATATATATATATGTACAATATTTTGTAGCAGTATTTAAAAATTACTATATTTAAAAGTAACCGCTACCATTGTAGCCTACTAAAGTCCTGCTGAACATAGGCCTCACCCATAGGATACTTGCCATAGTTGCCACGCTTGGCAAGCGGGTTGGCAACCGTAGTTCTTTATTTTTAGTCGGTACTAGGAAGACGCTGCCCATCTCCTGACTTATTTCCCTCTGTCGCCTCTTACGACACCCACGGGATGATATGGGGTAGTGGATATTTTTACACCGCCACTACTAGGTAAATTGGTGTTCAAAGTTTTAATTCACTGCTTTCTCTTTTCATAATAAGCTATTTGAATAAAATTTCGACACACTTATTGGTGTGGTTAGTTTCAAGTACAAACGCACCGATAACTTTGTTCTTACTTTTTCGACACTTATTATTATTAATTTCTACTTATCGGATATTTTCCTTTATATTTGCCTAATTATGTTAAAAATATTATAAATATTGATGCTAAATTTCAAGTTTCTTAATTGTATAAATATAATAATAATAATTAATGTGGCCTCGGATTGTAATGAATGAGTCCATGGGCTCATTCATTACAATCCGAGCTTATGAGCTATAACAATTGCAACTTATTATATACCTTAGTTATTATATTCCAGAACTATAATAATAAGTTAGGATAGATAGAAGAATAAGTTCTTATATGAGGTTTGGGATTCTAAGTATTCTATCATCATTATCATTATCATCACAGTTTATTAAAATTCACTATTGAACATAGGCTTCACAAAAGTTATCGTGTTTGGCGGATGGTTTGGCAACCGATTTTTTTATTATTTTGAGATATTATCAGAGGATGCAAAATCAAAAATAAGTAGGTATAAAAGTTTTTGAATTATGGAGCGTTCTTTAGAACTACTCTTTAGAGCTACTTTAGTAGCTCAAAATGTTTCGTGTAATACGAGTACACACCGTCGCTGTGTAGTCTTTTCTTTTCCGACCATTGCCGATACTCTACTATGTACGAGTGTTTATTTTATACGTGGGATAATTCTCATGGACACCAGGCCACTAAGAGTCCACGGTGTTCATCTCCTTGCCTTTAATCGAGGCTACGAGAACGATTTCGGCTTTCGCACACTACCGCAGCCCTGACGGCGATAGCTCTTACTGGTTCCATCTCGATAACGGAGTGGAGCTGTAGTTCTCCACTCTTTCTTATATAGGGTGGCACGGAAAACATACTGTAAGCGTCACCTCAAGGCCTAAAACGACGGACCACCCCCGCGTCCTTCATCTATGTCTCAATTTTGGGGAGTGGTAGAGAGCCTGAAGTGCTGAGCCCCTAAGTCAAAACCGCTGAACTTTAAAAGTAATCACTGTCGCAAATATAAACATTTTAAGCAGAAAGAAGTTATAAATCAACAATTCCTCGGTGCTTAGTTTATGAGCAAACATCCTTTGTTGCTTAGTTTAAATATATGCTTTAGCATTTGACTAATGTATACTTAGTTGACATTAACTGAGGCTGAATTTCGAGACGAAAATGTCAACGTTGAATTGTGAAAATCACGAATACGCGTACCATTCTAATTGGGAATGGAAGTCATCGCTTTAAATTAGAGTAAGTCACATTATGAAGAGTATTTATTTATTATGAACAAGCGGAGAGAACACTAACATAAACACAATGTAAGAGCAAGACGATTTTATACGTGGTAGAGCCATGCTGCAGTTATATTGTAGTATAGTTGTAGCACGAATTGGTCGTCTCGATCGGGGAAGAACCACGCTCTCACAGAATACCAGCGTAAAATAGCAGCTTAATACTGTTGTGTTTCGTATGGTGAATGTAGAGAAACGGAGACCCTATTTACTGGAAAAGAGGCATTCCATCTTAGTCCTCATGGGTGCCAAGTGCCAATGCATCTGCATTTTGATTCGTAATCGAGGATAGATAAAGATGACTATGGGCCGCAACAGCCACTTACCATCTGGTGGACTGTGTGCTATTTTGTCACCCTATCCTATATAAAAAAAGATATCAATCAAAAACTATATCAATGATATTACTGTGATTAGGTAAACGGATTTATTAGATGACGATAGCTATATGAGCATATACATTCTGTTATATTTAACCAATATATACTAACTTTACTATGTGTTTTTAATAAATGGAATAAAAGTATTAAACAAGGTATAAACACCAGAGCGACTGATAAAAGAAAATAAGCTCTCTAAAACTCTACAATAATACATATTTAAATACGTGAATTCTTAATTCAAAATATATAACAAAATTTACGAGTATGCGTGGAAAAAAACAGGTAAAAAATATTTTTCTTCACCTTATACAAATGATTACGACTCCGCGTTAACTTAGTTAAGAGAGTTCGAATTGGAGTAAGTTAAATTTAATAAAACTTTGAGCGTTAATAAATTCACTTCAGAGTTAAATATAAATTAATCCAGACGTCGTGTACCTTGACAAAAGATTTTTGTTGAAACCGAAGCTAAATTAATTCTACGAATGAACAAGTGGAACAGTGAATTAGCTTTGAAAATTGTTTTAAACAACAAATAATTGCCTACTATCAAAAGAAATGCTAGAAGTAAATATGCCAAAAGCACTTATATTAAAGAAGTTTAATAAGAAAATGTTTTAACTTAGGTATTGAATATTGTTAGTAGGTAGTTGTGGCAGGAAATATTCAAATACCATTATTTTTAAACCCCGGCCCAAAACTTCTTTTTTGTATGGAGTAAGAGCGAAAAACGAGCACACAGTATAGCTGATGGTAAGTGGATACTGTGGCCCATAGAAATGCAGATGCGTTGGCACCCACGAGGACTGAGATGGAAGCCTCTTTTCCAGTAAATAGGGTCTCCGGTTCTCTACATTCACCATACGAAACACAACAGTATTAAGCTGCTATTTTACGCTGATATTCTAGCGTCTTTTGTCTTAGATTTTAGTTTGATTTAGTTTACGACTTGCTATTTTCTGCAACTCCACATCTGAGCGCGTATTTTACGTATGGACAGGAATAAATTTAGTAACTATTCCAGCCGTATGTCCTCTTTTTGGCAGCTTTTTTGTGTTGCCTACAACTGTGGAGATAGATCTCGGCGTGCCGAGATGTTCAGCCCTGTATGAGGCGACTTTTCATCTTCCCCCTTACATGGCCTACACAGGAGATAGCTTAAAACTCCCGTGGTAACTAAAAGTTTGTGAAAAGTGTCTTAGATTTCTAACTTTACATATAATTTTAATTGTTATTAGGATTTGAGATTTCAAAACCAAAATTACCAATTTCATTCGTTCCGGCGGGGACCGAAACCAGGTTGATTGCGTTAACGGCGACGCTTTAGATTTTAAGCCCATGGCTGGTTTATTTTATTGTTTCTCAAAACATATTTCTCAGAACTTGACACACCAATTCAAATGCCTCCCTTTATAATGTAAACTTTCTGTTTTCTTCCAAATAAATAATTATAATTTTTAGCAAAAAGTATAAACCAACTGCAAATTGCTAAAAAAAGTTATTTGCAACCTTTAGAAGTGGAATTTTTTCAACAAATTCGTATGGGATAACCCTTGAAGAAAAATATATTTAAGAAAAATAAACAGAAGAAGAATCATTGAAATCGGTGTTATCAGCAAAGTTATCATATGAAATACCTTAAGCAATAGTCCAATATGAAAGTTTTTCCCCTGTTTTCCACCTTTAGGGGCGGATTTTTTTG